AAAATTGGGTAGGGTTTCTAACAGACCTTTATAAAACACGGAGTTTCCTAAGCTCAGAAGTAATAGAAGAAAATCCCCCAGATTCCACCTTATAGAGTTTTGGGGCAAAAGGAAATGGATTAAAATGTAAATAAATATTTTTTTTTGACAAGTAATAAATATTCTTGTCTCAAGCCTGGCAATCTTATTTCTTCAACCAGCATCCATGATAGTTTGTTAGCCTAACTGGTTAGATTTTATGTAGAATAAAATCTCAGATCCTTCAATTCTTACCTCTTGATTAATTGTGGTAAACTATACTTAATAAAATGAAAACAAAGCCAGGCATGGTGGTACATGCTGGTAATATCAACTCTTGGGAGGCTTAGGCAGGAGCCTTGTAAGTTTGAGCATAGCCTCATCAACTTAACAAGATCTTATGGTAAACAGGGTAGGGTACATGGCACAGTGCAAAGGACCTGGGTTCAATGCCCATTACTGCAAATTAAGAAAAGAAAAATGCACTCAAACAAAATTATTCTTTTTTTTTACCTTTGGGTAACCACTAATTGAGGTGTCAAATGAATGTAAGGAAAAATTTCTTGGCAGAAGCAGACTGATGTAGGTTTGTGATTTTGGTTAATTTAGAAATATAATTTATATCTGTCATTATTTCTGTCTATGTCGTTATCTTGGCACCAAGCAATATGGTGTCTGCATACTGTATGCATTCAGTAGTTCACTGCTGAAAGACAATAGGTTTGAATAGACTTCTTATGATTACATTATAAATGTATCTTAAAAATCTAGAAGATAACTCAAAAAGAAATTATTTTTACTGCGCAAATAAATAATGAGGAAATCCTACTCCAACAGGTCTTCTATATAGGAACATCTGAGAGAAAAATAAAAAATGAACATTCTGGTCATTTGCTTATGTTATCTGAAGACATAGATGATTTTAAAACAAAGTGATGGTGGCTGGAGAAGGTCAAAGGAAAATTAGTAAGAATATCTTTCTTAATGAGTACTTGGCTTCACTGACTAGCTCTTTTAAACTATCAACTCTGCATGACAAACAAAGCCATCTGTTTAAAATAACTCATACTGCAATATTTAACTCCCATATTCAAAATACAATAATAACTTTCTACTGCATCTGAAACACAGTCCAAAGTTCTTGACACCAACCTCTTTCCCTAGGCATTATGTGAACTAATCTCTGTCATTTTTCTGTGCCTCCCTTCTATCTATTCTCCATTACTGATCAGAGCTACCTACTGCATACTTCATGCTCCTTAAATACATTAAGTTTCTGTTTTAGGGTTTACAAATTGGCCTTACACTTAGCATCATTCAAATGCTATCCTCGGGGGCTGGGGATTTAGCTCAGTGGCACAGCGCCTGCCTGGCAAGCGCAAGGTCACGAGTTTGGTTCCAGGTACTGGAAAAAAAAAAAAACAAAAAAACCAAATGCTGTCCTTTATATAGGCCTCTTATGATCATTCAGTGAAGCACTATGGTCTGTCCCTTAATGTTTGCCATTTACATGGCAAGTTTGAATATTTTAAGTAATACTGTATATTTATATATGTGGTCATCATCTGCCACCCCATACAAAATGAAAATCCTGTGAAGTCAGGGATCTTACTGCTTTTGTTTACTACAGAAAGAACATTACCCAGAAATTTTAAAATGAGCCTTCCAGGCTAGTGTCGGGTGTCTTGAGTATGAGGTCTCAGCAGATCCTTCTCTGAGCACTTCCCAGAGGATGGGCCTGAGTTGGAGGCGGTTCTCACCCAAGGGGCCACTGCTGATGCCCGATTCTGGAAGAGCCCTAGCCAGGCCTGGTCTGGCCAAGCTGGAAGATTTTGTGTGGCTCCTCCCTGTACTCCATCAAACCAGGGCTGTGTTTTGCTCTCCACTGGGTAATTGGGGGGTAGGGGAGGGGCAGGAAGTGGGACTTTGGTGCTACCTCAGCAGAGGGTGGTGACACTTAACCCTTCCATTTGTTGACACTTTCTGATTTACCAAGTGCTTCCCTTCTGTTATTCGATCTGCACTGCCACTGATGGAATGGACACCACAGGCCTCTTTATCTGCTTTCCCAGATGAGGAAATGGCTGTTCTGAAAAGGGACTGATTTAGATCCTGCAGGTGGTATGTGACAGAGTTGGGGCTCAAAATATTCTCACCAAATCCAGTGCTCTTCATGTATTACTTTTATAACTAGAAAAATAAATATTAGAAACACTTTAAAAAAAGAAATTTTAAGATGATCATCAATGGCTGACATATTTATTTATAAAGATACCAATCCTGGCTATAAACATATAGCTTGAATTAGAATTAAGATCCTCTTGGTAATATCTATAAATATTCTAAAAAGCATCCTGTAAAAAAAAAATAATAGAGCTGTAGGCACTTAAGAACAATCAATGCAGACTAGATTTAAGGTGGCAAGATCCCTGATATAGAATCTCATGTTGATATAAGCCCTTTATTTTCTTCCACTTTTTACTTCAGGAAAATTTGCAATTTTGTTAAGAGAAAAGAGATTCCAGCCATACAGATGAAATCTGCTTGTAGCAGTTTCACCGAGATGAAGAGAAAAATGGTGACGTGCAGAGATGCCACAGCAGTAAGAGTTGGAGGGTCAAGAACCCAGAGATGAAAGAACTAAAGGAAGGTGTGTCCCAAGTCACAGGTTTCCAATTCTAAAATTTTGTCAGTAGATGCGGTACTGAGAATCACAGTGGACTTAGTACTTTGACAGCAAGTACTAAGGAGGTAAGAAGAAATTTATTCAGTTATTTAGTGACATAACGTCTTGGAATGGGATTCAGGGATAAACAAGGAGAAAGAGATCTGATAGATCTCAGTTAAGACAGCAACTCTCATGGAGACAACAAATAGAAAAGACAGAACAAAGTTTGAAAATAAGCTTCACAAGGATCTCTGCCTATAAAATATCTACTTGCCAAAATAAAGCTAAATCTTTTTTTTTTTTAGAAATGTAAAGATCTCCCAGCATCTTTATGTTTTACATCAACAAAGTTTGATACTCGTTCAAAGATTAATTGCTTAGAAAGAAGATCAACTGACTAAAAAACCAAAAGCTAACCAGCCAATAGAAGTAAACCTATAAATGATCCAGATTTATCTATCTCATGACAAATAGCCTCTTTGAGGACAAATTTGACAGAACTAAAAGTCAATTAAAGGTGCTGGGGATTTAGCTCAGCGGCAAAAGCGCCTGCCTGGCAAGCGCAAGGTCGTGAGTTCGGTTCCCGGTACCGGAGAAAAACCCAAAAACCAAAAACAAAAAAAAAAAAAAAAAGTCAATTAAAAAGAACCCACAGTCAATGTGAGGAATATTAGTATTCCTCTCTCAACTCATAAAATACCCTCCCCCAAAATCACTAAAGATTTAGATTTTTAGAAACACAATTAATAAACTAGAAGTAATTGAGATTTTGTAACAATATACTTCACCTCAGAAGAATACACATTCAAATTTACATGAACCATTTCCCCAATACATTATATGTTAAGACAAACTTTTAAGAAACTATATCAATCTTACATAAAACTCTTCCAGAAAATAGTACAGGCAATATTTCCTACCTGAATGTATAAGGGCAACACAACTGTCATACCAAAGCCTGAAGAAAACTACACAAGAGTTAAAATTTGCAGGCTGAACTTCTTTTTCATGCATACAAATACAAAAATCCTGAACAAAATATTAGCACATCAAATCTATTAATATGTTAAAAAGATAATGCAGTGTAGTTTAACTGGTTTATTTTAGGAGTATGAGGGTTAATGTTAAAAAGTCATCACTGTAATGTGAATGAACGTATGTGACAACACAGAATCATCATCACCATCTTAGTCACTGTGATCATCCTTTTATATACCCATGATAATGATAAAGTTTGATTTCTACATTGAATGGCATAAGATATTAAAAACAATACCAATAAAATAGAACAATTATAACAATATAGTGTAAGAAAATTTCCAGCAACACTACTTTTGGACTCCAATTTTAAAAGCAAAATTTTCGTTAAGCACAGCACTCTGATACTACAACATTGGTCATACAACCGAGATAGCTACTAAGTGGCTGGTGGTCACGTTGTATGTGGTGTGGATATGGTGGACAAAAGGATGCTTCAGGTCCTGAGAAACACAAAGAATGATGATGCGAGATTTCATCGTGCTACTCAGCACTGCGCTCAATTTAAAACCTATAAACTGTTTATTTCTAGATGCTCCATTAACATTTTCAGACCATGGCTAAGGAGGGGATTTCTGTTGCAGTATCAAGTTCACGAAATAGAAAGAAAAACTGAGGAATTGTTCTAGCTTAAAGTAGACTAAGGGAAAATAACAACTAATTGCAACCTGTGATCTTCAGTTGAATCTGAGATGGAGTATAGGACATTAGTGGGGAAAATTAACAAATTTCAACGAGGTCAGTTAGACAATGGTATCATATCAATGTTGAATCCCTAAGTGTGACTACTACACTGTGGTTAAAGAATACATTGACACGTGAAGAATCCGATCGAAGGGTAGAAGGTATGCTTACAGTCATTCTGTGACCACCTTTACACACTGCACAAGCTTGTAGGGCAAATCAGGATGTTAAGAAACTAGTAGCATTGTTGTTGCAAATGCTACCTGACAAAAAATGAACTCTAACTTAATGTCACCAAGACACACACCTTAGAAACTGGTTTAGCTCCCAAATAATGGACTCAAAGTATTTTAAGAGCAACACTGTAGTTGGTACTTACTTCATCGAAGGTAAAATCATTTAAATCTATTTCTTCATATTCTTCTTCAGATTCTTCGTCCTTGATAGCATCTAGGGCTATTGTCAGTTTCTTTCGCAAAATAAATCCCTTCCAAACTGCCTAAATAAAAATTTAAACTATGTTATACAGGGTTATAGATCAAACCTCAAAACAGATTCTCTGTGTTATCCCATTAGGAAGATAAAACATCTTAGAACTTGGTTTAATAGCTCAATAATCTGTTTTTTGAACTTTATGTGACACTTAAAACTGCAAGATAAATTAAACGACTGCATGTGTCTGAATCTCAGGAGACTTTTTTTTGTGGTAAGCAGAAAAGAATCTTTAAAACTCCCTCAACTGCACATGTAGGTCAACCAATCAATTATCTGACAATTCCTCCAAGGACTCATTCTCCACAGAGAAGAAAGAGATACAAAGAACAGCCAATACTGCTCACTTTCAAATGATTACATATAAAATAAACTAAACCACATTTAGGAAAGCGTTAATATACACAAGTGGCTATATTAGAGAGGGGGCCCAAGGCCCGTAACAACTAATTAATTTCATTTAAAAATAAACTCAACACAAAATAACAAAACTAAAAACATTTAGATTTGCTAATAACTGTGGAATACATAAACTTTCTGAACTACACATACAAGCAAAATGGAGCTTTGGAGAGGGAGTGAGCTTCAGCATATTGTAAGTGTAAAAAGGCAGGGAGAAATAAATATATTATGCATGTTAACATTTATCAGTGTAAAAATAATAGATACATATAAGCATATAAATTACATAAACACACATGAGCATATATATGATTGCTTAAATTTAAAAATAAAAGTTGTGAAATTAATTTTAAAATATTGACATATAAAGGCAGAAAAGAAGGTAATAGCTACACCATTAGAAATTTGAATTCTCTGAATATTCCTTGCTTGAATTTGACCTTGGAACCAGGCACATGATTAAGATAATTGTAAAAGTTAAATATTTAATAAAAGGCAACACCTTAAAATGTAAAAAAATGTTTCAAGCTGTGGGATTAACCACACAAGTTATTTAACATGATTTTAAAGTAGGTTTACTTAACTATAACCTCGTGAAATATACTTGAAAGACACGTTTGACTGTAAAAGCTATCTTAAAACAACTTTCAATAATTATATTGTCAGTAATAATATTAGCATTATCATATATAAAAAAGATAGGTCCACAACCTCTCTGTAGCACACAGCCTTGGAAAGCAAACCATAACTTCAGCAAGAATCCAGAAAGCTAAATAACAACTTTGGCAGCAATTAGCCAAGAGTGATCAACCCTTGGTGAAGGATTGCCAGTTTACCACTTTTGCTCCTGCTTATGACCAATCAGAGAAAGCTAAATCTACTTTCAAAACCAATGACATAACATGTGCCACTACTAGTCTCCTATCTACATTTCCCATATCAACAAATAATCAGAGCATACCCGAAATACCTGAAGGCCCCCTCTTCCCCACCCCTTCTTTAAATTTATGTGTTTTCTGTAATACACTATAAACAGTCCATTTTATCGCATTGGTGAGCTCTTTAGTTCCATATTATGCATACATGTAAGTAGAAACCCACTCACCAGCCTTGCTGCCCTTCCAAAAATCAGAGATGAGTGACAGGAGAAAAAAAAACAATTATATTAATGTCATAGGGAACCAAGATTCTGTAAAGATGAAAAATAAAATCAAATAACAAAAATTCTGTAGCCCTAAATATAATTGTAAAATACCAGTATGAACTACTGTATGTTTTGTCTTAGAACATATATTTTCAAGTTTAGTGAGATTAAAAAATAAAATAATGTCCATACCAGTAACAGTAAGTACTCCTATTATAGGAGTACTTACTCATCAATGAGATAAAATAGACTATTTATTTAGAGTGTATTACAGCAAAGACATAAACTGAAAGACTAAGAAGGAGTGGAGAAGAGGAGGCCTTCAGGTGTTTCAGGTATGCTCTGATAATTTGTTGATATGGGAACTGTACAGAGGAGGAGACTAGTAGTGGCTTATGTTATATGATTGGTTTTGGAAGCAGATTTAGCTTCCAATATATAAAGACATGGGATCTTTATATATCCTTTTTGTTAAAAGAGTCAAAGATCTTTGGAGAAATGTTGATTCTAGGCCTAGGGAAAAATTTATGACAAATGAGCTTGGAACATGTGTTACATTAGAAAGGAAGGAAGGTGTCAAAGACTATTAAACTGTATCAAAAAAGGCAATTTAATGGAATTGCTACTGGCCAAATAAAGGGCAGTTTGAGCATTACCAGAAATAAGTACAATGGAAATAAGCACATAATATACTTTTTAAAATTTACTCTTTCAATGACAGTATACATCATGGTGACCTATAGTGGATGCTAGGAAACTGTTAATCTAAAAATTAAAAACTAAAAAGAACATAGGCATTAAATCTACTTTTCTGGTATGAAACATACCTCTGAGTTTATAAATAATTGATTGGACAAAATTTCTCTTTATAGATATAACTTAGTTAATAAATGAATGATTAGTAGATCTAAAGCACCACCATTTTACAAACTATTAATAAAATAATTCATCTGGGTAATGTGTATTAGTGGACACCAATATTCCCGAAAGAGAGGCAACAAGATATTATATACCTGGCTTTTGTAACACATACCACCACCTATCATATACCTTTGTTAAGAAAAGCAAACCTTACTGTCAGTGTATAGAAAACCAGGGGAGAGGAAATATGTTAAATTGTTAAATACACGGGCCATGGACGTGTATTTGGCAAAATTCAGGAAGTGGAAATCTCTCCAGGATGAATGATTGAGGGTTCCTTCAATAAATAAACTACAAGGAAAAGAAGAGGTTGCTCTATATTAAAAAATATAAATGACATATAATCCAAAAATTTAAAAAGCTATGACTTTATATTTTGATTTTAAAAATCTGTCAACAAATATTTATAAAATACTAGAGACAATTTAAATACTAACATATTTGGGGTTATTGAAAAATTAGTGTCATTTTTTAGCATTATTGAATGTACATTTAAAACATAGAAATAGATCAATAATAGAAATCAATACTGAAATAATTATGAAATGAATGATTTATCTGGCATAGTATACTGATGAAGAGGGAGAAGTGTGCTGGGTATTAAAGCAGTCAATACTGGCAGTAGTTCAACAATGAACACAATTCTGTGAGATTAGAAACCAAGATTTACTACTTAAAATCAGGTGACCTATGAGGCTGTCTCATTAGCTACCATTCAGAATTTCCCATTATTATGACTATGACCACTATCCTTGATGGAAATGCAAAGGAAGATATTTCTGCCACACTCCCTGTCATATACAAATCAGGTAAATAGGTAGGCATGGATTTTGAAATTTATTCAATGTCTATTTTATGCTATATATAAATGGTTGAGCAATGACTCAAACATAGAGACTCTCTATCCATGGACTTTCTATTCTCATGGAGGGTGGGGACTAAAAGTAAACCCAATAAATAAGGAAAATATATTGCATGCTAGACAAATGTCATGGACAAAAATAATGTAAAGATGATAAGTTTAAGGTCCTACACTACTCAGACAGTTTGGGAGTTTTACTAAATCTGCTATTGTGGGGCTGGGGATTTAGCTCAGCGGCAAAGCGCCTGCCTGGGAAGTGCAAGGTCGTGAGTTCGATTCCCGGTACCGGAGGAAAACCAAATAAATCCCTAAATAAATAAATAAATAAATAAATCTGCTATTGCTACCAGCATTCTCAAGTGTGTGGTCCTGGGAGGGACTTGGAGGATGAGACTACAGGTGGATACAGAGTGCGTCCCGGGGCTGGGATTTAGCTCAGTGGCACAGTGCCTGGCTGGCAAGAGCAAGGCCATGAGTTCAATTCCCGGTACTGGAAAAAAGAAAAAAAAACACAGAGTGCGTCCCAGGGTACCACGTTATCAGGAGCTGCAGCGTTTTCACCGTGGTGAACCTGGTCTTCAAGCACAATCATCATGATCTCCGATACAATATAGTGGAGATAATCTTTTCCATTCCTAAGATAATTACCTGAGCCTTTCAATGTACCCACTGTTACTCCAAAAACTATGAGAAACCCAGGTTTCCAGCAATCAGTGTAGTAATTTACCTTATTTTCTTGATGGGGATGGTGCTGTTAAAAGTCTAGCTCTGTATAACTTCTATAACTTCTATAACTTCACCCATCTTATGGATTTCTAATTCATGTTATGAGGTTTAACACTTTAAAAACAAGCTCAGGATCACATATAAAATTAAAAAGATAAAAATCAAATATGATTGCTATATAGATTTAACTAGAAATTTTATATAGTGGTTAGCACATGACTATCACATAATGCTCAATTATTAAGTATTATTGCCTGATCCTTTACTTTTAACAATTATATTTATTTAGTTACTTAATTCATCACATAGGAAAATTCTACACTAAACACTGCACATAGTTCAAAAATACAGGTGGTCAAATACCCAGGCTTTCCAGGCTTTCCAGATTCTTCAGTTTCAACAGATACCAAGAATGCTCCTGAGTCTCTCCACATTTCAAGCAAAGCAAAGAAAAATAATATGGCATGTCTTGTGGGAGGGCATAACAGGGCAGATATGGAGGTGGTGTACACATCTCCTATTCATATTCTAATAACCGGAACTTAGAAAGAAGGCCACAACGAACTGCAAGTGAAGCTAGGACATCTAACTGGCCTGGACGCCAGGAAGAAGACCATGAATTCTGGTGAGCAGAGAGCACTGTCAAAATGAAATCTTCATTTTCATCTTTCTAAAGCCAAGGTTCTTTCTTCTATGTCATGCTCTGCCCCCCTCCAGAATGCTTAGATATTCTAAAATTTACATCTTAAAATGAGTGGTTTAAGAAACTAGATGACTACACCCCACACCAGAGAAAATGAAACTGAATTCAGTGACTGGACTACCATGATGTACATCAGAAGAGACTTGCCATAAATTATATGGAAAGGATGAATTACGTTTTCTTTTACAGATACTATGATCCTCAACCAAAGGAGATCTAATAAAGATATCAGTCACCAAACTGACAGCTTCATAAAGTAGTGAACTTCTCTTTAAGAGAACTGAAGCAAAAGTTTAATAGCCATTTACTATTTCTGCTGAAAAATGCACTGTTCGTCCAATAATAACAGGAGGAGTTTGAACTGTTGGACACTTGCATTCTTTATGCAGAAGAACAGTATTTTGAGATAGTAAGCAAAGTTTCTTTCTCTTAGAGCTTCCTTGAATCAAATGTCTCCCCTCATTCTTACCACTATGGTATCAAGCTTTTTCCTATATATTGCTTTCAAGAAGAGTACAACAAAAACTAAACTAAAATACTAGGTATATTCATTAGAACCATAGCAAAGGTAATTATCTTGAAAACTATGTTCTTCCTAGTGAAAGCCAGGAACTTGAGAGAAAAAGATCTCTTTCTCTCAACATTAAATTTATCCTTTCCTTTGTGCCAAATAACTAGAAAGCATCCCTGAGTCCTGCCCATCTTCCACACAACACTTCCCCATAACTAACATTCCTGTTCTCTATTTCTAAAGTATATATACATAGCTTCACGCTAACTCAGTACATAGTCTGGAATGTGATACTCCAATCACCCAACTCCTCACATCCGGGACTGTGCCATAATATTCTCGCGATGCTATACTAGCCCAACTAAAGCTTTTGCCACAGTTCTTGCAATATATCTGTAACAGAAAGTGAACGTGAGCATATTAGCCCACTTTTCAAAGTCCTCCTGTGTCTTCTCATATTATAAGAGGAAAAGTCAAATTCTTAACAATGACCTATGTCTTCTAAATCCTATTTATCTCTCCTTTATCATTTTCCAGTCACACTGGCTCCTTGCTGCTCCTTAAACACTGTGGGTGTGCTCCTCCATCAGGGTCTGTGAAGCTGATACGCCTTTGTCTGCGATATTCTCCTATAGATAGCCAGTGGCTTAGTAGCTCGCGCCAGTGTCAACATTTCTGGTCTTCCGTATCTGTTCTATCTCAAATTAAAAACTTCCTTTTCAAACCCTCATCCTGCTTTATATTTCTCCTTGATTTCTGTCCCTAACAAATCGACTGACTGCACCTTCCAACAAAATATAAACTGGCATTATTTTCACATCGAGAAACCGTTGTTGAATAAACAGAAGGAAATGATGATTTTCTTGTTTGGATACTGTTATTCATCTGAAGCATGGTGTTGTGAATTTCCACAGACCTTAACTTTATGTATGCATTCAGTTTATTTGATTCTTTCTTCAGGATATAAACACCACGCTGGCAGGCATTTTTGTAGGGTTTTTCTTTTTTTTGTAGTTTTATTTCCTAAGCCAACAACGGTGTCTAACAAATCTAAGAAAAACACCTGATGAGTGAATAAATGAATAAATGAATGTAATCAAGCTAATATTCATTTCAAAACCGGGTAACATTGAGTCAAGTATATTCACCTCTTGATTTCTGAATTTTTAAATGAAAAATTTTAAATAACATTTTTAAATGAAGAACTTTAATATTGGGTGAATTGAAAATACACTTTTAGAAGAAGCTATAACTTATACGAAATGAGGCCCCACTTTGGCTAGTCAGATTTTACTCAAATTGACAAATGGCACTGTTGAGAATTTTTAAATGTAATTGTGTAGTTTCACTTGACCCATAGTCATAAAAATACTCTTTCAGATATAAAGACTATTCCTTCAAGCTATATACTAAGCAGAACCAAAGCCAACCTACAGTTTACATGCAGCCTACATGTCATGTGAGTATAACATAAATCCATGTAAAAATAAATCACTAAGATTGGGGTGGCTCTTTATACAGAATAAGCCAGAGAAAGATGATGAATGTACCTTTCATCATTAACCATGCTAGCAAAAGATTAAAATTAACCTGAATAAGAACAGCAGCCTTCTCTTTCTGTTCATGGACATTCATAATATTTTTTCTTCCTTCTTTCATTAGAAAAGTTTGATTATTGAAGGAATTTGACAGGCGTTCTGTTGTAACAGTATGTATCCTTGGAGAGAAATTGATCTGTCTGCGCACAACATAACCACGCCAGTATGCCTGGATCACCACAGCTGCCATACTATAAAAAGGTGAAAAGAAAATATTTTTAGCATGTATGAATACACGGTGGTAGATAAGAGATTCTTGTGAGCTATAAACATAGACCATGTAAAGTGCTACTTAAAAACAAGACCCCTTCTTTTGTTTAACTACAGTCAGAGAAGTAAAAACAAGCAAATTTCAAATCTGAATGTGAGAAAAAGTCACATTCTTGAGAGAAAGACCTGGGTACCAGGGAATTTTATTTATTGAAAGGGGAGATACTATAGAAATTTCATAAGATACTGAGGACATTGGTGAGAGGATATTGGATAGTGCAGAAGAGAGGAGATAAATGTAGGAGACACTTTCAACTTTGCTGTTTTGGGTGAGATCCTTTACACTGTGGGGCAAGAGCTTTGGTGAGGAAGAGAAAGGAGGCCTTCCTCACCAGAAGAGGCAAGGCCCTAGCTGGTTGCCAGTAGCTTCTCTTTTCTCCCTACCCATCATCAAATACTTAACTCTCACTCTTATGAGCTCAGTAGTAAAATCTAACATCTCTCACCCACCCGTTTGCCAATTTCAGGCACTGCATCAGTGAGTACTGTGTGTTGTCTACATGCCAGTGCACTGCACAGCAGTAGCTAATGTGAATAAAAATGTACTGATTGTGTGTTCACAGTATATTTAATCATGTTTTTTCCTTTCCCAAACATGTTATTACAAGAATATTATCAATGTGCTGGTATAGTTTAAGTGCTAAATATTCTGTCTTGGTAACCCTTCAAATTCCTGAGTTTGAACGGGAAGGTTCTGTTCTCCAATGTTCCCCTGAAATAGTTTTCAATAATTTTATAATTACCAAACCTAATGAATTTTTTGTTCATTCTTATATGTCCTTATATTTGGTTTAAAACAAAATGGAATGAGGCAATAAAGTCTATCAGATATGACCGTACATATTTTTTCTTACAGCATTTGTAGGAAATGAAAAATAAGTGATGTCATCTTCTATAGTTGCTTAAATTTATAATTGTTATCAATTGTATCATCCTCCTCATCAACACCTTTTTATCAACAGGCCTTCAAGACTTTTAATCTGTTTGTTATGAGTAGAAAATTGAAGTTGATGGCTAAAACTTCTGGTCTAAGTTAAACTACTTGCACTTGTAGTGCTTGCAAAAAAAAGTCATGTTCCAACAAATCATTTCCTCCTGCTCGTATAAACAGAACTTTGTAAATTCACATTTGGTCATGCAATTTTCCATTCACGCCTCATCTTTTCACCGGAAAAAGAAAAGGTGCCATTCTGTATGTAAATACTGTATTAGGTACTTTGGGTGACAAAGGGAAAAGAAGAGCCAGAAAAAAAAAAATATTTGGGGTGTATAAGTAGTTAAAATGGAAAGGTGTATAAGGAAAAAGATTTAGGCTAACATCTTCTGTTTCTCTACAGTGCATGTTAGTTTCACTGACTACAATGTGAAATTCTTCTAAAGCCAGCAGCTTCATGAAACCTCAGCCCCATATCAAAAATTACTAAGGAAAACCAAGAGGTAGATGAGGAATATTTTCTTTAGTGACATACATAGGAACTGCTATTTCCTACACTGAAAGCAAGGAAAGAAGCTAACTTGAGGTTTTCCTAATCGCAGCCTCCTCTCCACGTTGGAAAAAAGACCTCTATCATCATCTCTATTTTTTTTCCCTAGCAAAAATAATAATGTAAAAAAAAATGTCCTTAGCACAAAAGTACATATAAATCTTGCTTAGAAAACTTCAATATAACTGACAACGGATCTTCCCGAATACCCAATTAACAAGGGTTAGCAGGTGGGTACACATTTTCTTTTTCCTTTTTTTTTTTTAAGGTCTTTCATATATATTTTAGTTCTTCATGTCTATTTAATATCATCATGTAATAATTTTATTATCATTAATTAAGAAGTTCCAAATGTTGTATTTAAAACCCCAATAGGCAACATCTGGAACAACGAAATTAATTACTGAAACATAAATCAGGAAATGTTAAAGCCACTTTTAATAAACGTTAATAATTTTAAAATAGGAAATAAATGTCAATTTTAGCACATCAAACTAGTCAACACAACTTTCAGAAAGGCAATCGCTTAACGCACACAATGCCGAGAAAAGCCAGACCAAGAAAAGCAGGATTTCTGCCTTATTCAGTGCCAGACAGGCTGAGTCGGACAGTTTTTCTCTTGGCTTGACACTGAAGTCGCAGATGCACACAAGGAACAAGAGGCTGGGAGGCCAAAGTAGAAACCAATCCTTGCTGGTTCAATAAATGATTAGAGCCGGAGACTCGCTTTTCTACAAGTGTTTAATAGCGGTGAGGGAGATTATGTGTTTAATCGCAAGGGATGTTGCCCTACCTTACAGAGCTGTTATGCCAAAGAAAATTACAGGACATACATTCAAATAGTGGCCTACATGCTTACTAAGTGCTTGCTAGATCAATGAGGAAATATTGAGCACAGGCAAAGGTACATTTTTCAAAAAATTATCTGATTATTCAGAGTGCCTTACTTTCTACTTTAGAATGTAGCATTTTATTTCCTTAAGAGCAATTTAGTTACTTAGACATTACAGAGCAGAAAAACAATTTCTCATTTCTCATTTTAAATTGAATACTATTATAAATTATATCTGAACCAGTCAAAAACCAAATTAATCTGCACTGTGGTTAGTAGTTTGTGTGCATCATAAAAACATAATTAAGGGAGTTAGTATAAAACATTTTAGTGATTTAAATCTTTACCAGGTTATTTGGCATCATTGACTAAAATCACCCATTAAAAATAGTAAACATAGCATATGTAAAGGAAAATGATGTGTATATTTACCTTTTTTCACTGTGTTCAATATTTTGGCTATTCCTCAGCAGAGAATTCGTCATTATTTTCACCAATGGTGTCCTTTCGGTGGTAATACTTCCGGTCTTAGTGTCTTGTCTCTCCTGGCATGCTAATTTTTCCTGATTTCTTTCTTCTAAACCTTTACATACAGGGGAGTGGCTCAATGGGGAGTGACTAAAACCAGGGTCCATCGATTTCTCAGAAGTATTTGGTGAGTCCGCACTAAGTCCATTTGCACAAGGAGGGAAGGCCTCGTTCTGCAGTGTGCTCTTATCGTATGGAGGGGCCAAACGGTTTTGCAGAGTGCTTGATTCATCTTTCTTGGTGATGCTCACACCCCCATGCTCATGTGCATATCTGTATTCAGTACTAAGTGTCATCAGTTCCTTAAAATAATGATGGAAATTTTCTGCTCTATCCAAGGTGAAAACATCCCTGAACAAAGAAGTGATCAGAGCATTTCACACTTAGAATTATATCAGCATATACAATTTTTAACATACATTTTGCTTTATTCCTAAAATGAGCATTAAGTTTTACTACAACATTCATTATAGATTATTTTTACTTCTTTACACAAAAATGTTTTCATTTTGAACACAGTTTGAAAGTATTTAGTTAATTTAGATCTGCCGGTCCAGACAAAATGTCTGGGAGTTTTAGGGCCATTTTTATTCAAGGTATTTTTGGAACAAATAAATGAGAAAAATTCATTCTTTTACTACCATAACATTAGAATTCATGGCTGCCTAAATTTGGAAAAGTTATTTATGAAGTAAAGTTAAAAGTACTTTATGCCTTGACTCTTGCCACTCAAAATATTTGTACTGGATTTTTAAACAAAGAATGTATATTATGAGAAAGTTTTTATTTCCATTTTTCTTTGGAGAAATATTTCATTGCAAAGAGAATTCAAATAGTTTAAGACACAAATGGTTGAGATTCTCTTAAACAATTGTTTCATTTCTAACTTGTAGACTTATATAATTGATCAGATTTTCATCTTCACCAGATTTGATGTTCCCAGTAGCAAATGAAAATAATCTTGCAGTTGTATAAGACTTATTCTTAACTGCACTTTATTTATTTTATTTCCAGGTTATTTTTAAGTTTTTACTTATCTCATAAATTTCCAGCTATATTTTATATGCAGGCAGAAACTGAATTATTCTTGTGTAAAGATGTAGTGTGTGTATATATATATATATATATATTTACACACACATATATGTGGTGTATATGTGTATATATATATAAAAAATTTAATCCAAGCAAACAAAAGGAAATTTATAATTATTTCAAAGTATAAAAATAGTGATTATGTTCAGCAAATTAATTATTGTGTATAATATAGTCTTCCCTGATATATTTCTGCTATTTTCCATTTCTTGCATTTTGTTGAATAATGAAGCAGAAAATGTTCAGTGCAAACATGGGGATATGAAATGCTACTGTTAAGGTATTGAGTTCAGTAATATTTATGCATTAAACATTTAAAAATAATCTACTTCCCAATAGCAAAGCTAAAGTGAAACTTAAATTTCAATAACAATAAATAGTCTATATTTCTAAATTTTACATCTCATGTTAAAAAACTAAATTTCAACATACGTGATTTCAAAGATCACTTTTTTTTTTTTTAGTTTTTCTCCGGTACCAGGAACCGAACTCAAGACCTTTCGCTTGCCAGGCAGGTGCTATGCCGCTGAGCTAAATCCCCAGCCCTTCAAAGATCACTCTTGCACAAAGCAAAATTATTCTTTACATATACACAAAGAAATATTAGTTTAGATTTCCACAAAGATAGACGTAAATATCTTAATTTTGTTAAAAGGAAACATTTCTGTAAAATTGAAATTTTTTTTAAGTTGTGAGATTTCTTTTTAATATGAATAGACTATATTAAAAATATTGAAATAGAAAAATAATTCAATAAGACAAGAATGTATGAATGCATAAGTAGCAATAATGCTAACATGAAATTTAGTAATTAAATTTAGACATTAAGAAGCACATATTAATTTTCCAGTTATAATGGTGAGACATCACAAGTGAAAAAAATGTGAAAAGGTTTTCCTTTTTATTTACATTTCCTAGAGCAATGCAAATTTACAAATTAAAAATTTAGTTTAAAAATTAAATTTAAAAATAGAAAAAGATCAATGGTAATTCATTCATTATTATGCATTCAGAATTAAAGAATTAATGTTCTATTTCACTGTGATTACTCTCAGATGCCTTCTTCTGAACACATGCAAGCACTGACTGCATCTTCCACTATGGTTCCCCCGTATCTTAAATGTAAATATAACACATGTACAATATGACACCTTAATAATACATAACATGCATTAAGTGTTGTAAAACTTGCCTTATTCCAGTGAAAATTCTTATTGACCAAATTTTCATTTATACTAATCTGCAATTTTTTCAAAGATAAACTCTTGCCCACAATTATTGATACATGACTGATGACTAATTGAATGTATGCCTGTATCATAAAACTATTCTCACACTTTATTTTATATAATAGTTTAGATTTTACATATATGTATATCAAATCCATTTCAAAATACAATTTAATGTATTTCTAGGAAAAAGAAGATTTCCAAGAAGATTTCTAAGATTTCTTTAAAGGCAGACTATTCCCCAAAACATACTGTTTCTAAGCAAGGACATAATTGCTGTGATAATCAAAATATGAAAATATGCTTGGCAAGTGTTCTACTACTGAGCTATAACCCTAGCTCACATTATTTATTTTAAACAAAAGGGGAAGATAACAATCGTACCCTTTTCTGGTGATGTGGTTTTCCACTAGTAACTTGAGTTCTCGAATCTGGGTCTGACAAAGTACCAGGAATTGTCCTGCTTCCAGAGGACTGTGTTCCTCAGTGTGGATATCTGAGTAAGAGCTTATCATATCCCCATTGATGATTCTCAGAGCAGGTAACGTTTTAAGTAGAGAATGCCTGTGGGAAACAGAAAAAAAAAGTTAATAATCTTGAAAATGAGAGTTTATGTTTAAAGTTAATCATATGCCTATCATGTGAATAAGCACAGAATATATATCAGAAACACTGATTTTGCAGAGAAAATGGTAGTTAAATTTGTATAGCAATGAAGGCTTTCTGTCATGCACAAAACAAATTTTAGAGCATTTCTTATATACTTAATCATTTTCTCCTAGAATACAAGTGGGAGAATTAAATTTGGAGGCTAAAGATCACATTTTAAGTGTATTAAAACTGCAGTATGAGAAGAATTTTATTTGTTTTAGAAAAAGGAAAATAACTTTACTAAAAGTTAATTACTTTAGAAATAAAGTTAGATTTTGATTATGTTTCTTAATAAAATATAGTGAGAGTAGGACTTTAAAAAAAAAGAAGGGGACATTATCCAGCTTTTCATGACCTGAAACATCTAAAATTATGTTGCCCCTGAATCTCGCTAAGAATTATAATAATTCTTGAAATATTACCAGAAGTCTGCCTTGATTTAAAAGACAAATGCAGCAAAACAAAAGCAGAAGTAAAAGTAAACAGGTCAGATGGCAAGAATTTCCCGTTGAACCGAACCGTTAACATATACTTGCCCAAACCTTTCACAAGGACAACGCTCATTTCTTTTTGAAAGGCTGCTGATGGTCACAGGGACATCATGGACTTTTGAGCAAAAGTTTAACTTTGAGGAAAACTGCAAAGCTCTGATGACAGATACCAAAGAAGAAGTATGTAAATGGAGAGAGTTCATGGGTCCCTTGAGAATATTCAATATTGTCAAAATGTCAGTTTTCCTAAACTGATCTATAGATTCAAGTCAATCTCTAAATTTCAGCAAGGTATTTGGTAGATATTAACAAACTAATTCTAAAGTTTATATAGACCCACACCCAAATACACAGAAGAGCCAGAAGAATATTAAAGAAAAGCAACACAGTCAGAGGACTAGTACTACTCAGTTTCTAGACTGAATGTGAAGTTACATAAATCAAAATAATGTGGTATTGTTGGGAAAAAAAGACAAAAGCATCAATAAAATAGACAGACCAGAAACTGACTCACATAAGCATAACCACGTGATTATATTTGCAAAAAACACAAAAGATAGTGGGCAAAGATGATCTTTTCAACAAATGGTACTGAAATAATTGAACATGCAAGTGAAAAAACACAGATCTAGAAAAACTTTTGTACTTCACAAAATACTACCTCAAAATGGATCACACAGCTAACTGTAAAAGGTAAAACTATAAAACTATTAGAATAAGAAAAAACCTACATGACTTTAGGCATGACGACTTAACACTGAAAATTTCTACTCTGAAACCTAAGGTCAAGAAATTGGTAAAGAAAGCACAGGCTAAGAGAAAATATTTGTAAAACACATTGATAAAGGGCTGCTATCTACAATATACAAAGAATAATTAATAGTCAGCCCCTTTTAAAATGCACAGATTGACAAAAAAAAGAGCAAGAGATCGAAACAGACATTGCACTAAAGAATACATCTGTATGACAGTTATTCACGTGAAAAAATGGTCGTCACCATAATGTGCCCATGTGGTTGATTCACCGACTTTAGCAAGTGTCTCTCTGGTGCACAATGTTTAGAGTGGGAAGGATGTGGATTGTGAAGATGGGGTATATGAGACTCTCAATTTGCTGCTAACCAATGACTGCACTAAAATTAAACTTTATTAATTAAAGAAAGTAACAGTTCCTAAACACTAAAGGGTGATGAAGTAAAATTACTAACACAGCAAGGCTTAAATGGAGCTCTCCATACAGAAGCAGCATCAGTTAGTCCTATCTGTGCTGTAAAGGCTGGAAAACAAATTCATTTATACAAATGCAGTTGTAAAATAAAATTTTGATATTTTCTCTTTCTGAAGGATGTAATTGAAAATGACAAAAATACAGAGATAAGATCAATGAAGTCACAAAGCATAATTATATGTATATAATTATAGTTTTCATATGCTTAGAAGTAAATAGATAATCATGAGAGAGACAGAGAGAGAGAGAAATACACCTTCCTCAAGGAAAGTTTGTATTGAGGGTGAAGATTGTTACTGCCCAACATGTTCTTCATCTCCTTCCCCAGAAAAAAATCCAAGTTTTTCCTCTTACCAGTAATTAAGTAAGGAACAAGGGAAAGCAATTAAAGTTTGTTCTTCAAGGTAATTATAAGATCCTTTACAATACTAGGAAATCAATGAGTCTTGTTGCTTTTATCATAAAGAGATTTAGAATATTAATATTTGAGTACAGTACCTACATTTTGAACCTTGTTAGTAGACTTAAAGCTACCGATGTTTGCCAAATCATAAACAACCACACTTACCCATAAGGGGTAAAATACACAGAATACAGTGTGTTCCTGACTGCATTCATCTTATGATATGATTCAAAAGCAGAATGTTACATTAAGATAGCAGTTATACTTTATGGATGTAATAAGATAAACATGGGTAATCACCACAGGAAAAAAATATTAAATTTGACATGATATCCTTGACCAGGTTCCCATAAAACCAAGGAACAGCTACCCTCTGAAATTTATATTGTTAATAATCAAAATATACTGGAGAGATCAATTTCACCTGTTCTACTGTGCTAGATTATTATATTACAAATGATGATAAACATGTTCTCTTTCCAGGTACACAGTCAAGTTTTCAAGACATGAGCGCATTGTCAAAATAATTTAGTTATAGCTATAAAATCATATAAAAAATAATGATACTTTTGAGATGTGTTAATAAAAAGTCAGGCAATGTTTCAGCATGAAAAAGAGACTGATTCTATGAGTAGTACTGTTTCTTTAGATTCAGGATCTTAAATTATAGAAGCCCAAATCTAATGCTTCTGCAAACAGTTCTTGAGCAGAAATAATAGTTATAATTATTTAGGTACCCAGCAAATTTCTGTTCCTTGCCTTGGTCTCCAGAGCGAGCCCGACTGGCGAAAGTAAGGAGGTTGTCCACAACATGCTCTAGGCTTTGAAGAAAGTATATCTTACAAGGAAAAGAAAGAAAGCTGATATCATGTTACAATTTGTGTCACTTTTTTTTGATACCAGGACTTGAACTCATGACCTTGTGCTTACCAGGCAGGAGCTGTGCTGCTGAGCTAAATCCCTGGCCCATTTGTGTCACTTATGAGGTTAGTAAAGCAGAATTTTTTTTCGTTGCTAAAGCATGAACATTTTTGGTTAAAAAAAAGTAATGAGCCACTGAACTACAAAATTTTTCCCCATAAAAAGTGGTCGTGGAGTCAGAATGGTCGTGCAGAAGCAGTAGTACTTATGAGTCCTTCCTGAGTAGAATCTTTTGGGTCTCATTTTGTGAAGCTACAAGGTAATGTTTCTGAAATGATTGTGTTTGAACTACTTCATCAGTAGTACCTGAAGTGCTTTTCAAAATGTCGACTCTGGGCATACCAAAGACTTTGCTGATCAACTAGGAGATCCATAGTTTTTAGATATCACCTTTCTTATTCAGCTTTAAAGAATAAAAAAATCAGTGCATTCAGAAGAAACAAACTGCCACATGCCATACTAAAATCAGTGATTGCTCAGGTTTAAACCTGAACCTTAAAAACCTCAAAAATTCTGATAATTTGCAAATTGTTTTAAATTTCCAAAAAAAATAAAATAAAATAAAATGACACAAAACTTGTAGCACAGCCAGCCATTGAACAATATCAAATATATGTTAAATGAAATAAGAGAAATTGATGCTTTAGGATAGTTACAACACAGAGATGTGGTCACTGATAAACATTGCCACTGACATACATAAGTGATATGAAATTTTCTTAGAGCACTATTCTCAAAAACACAGTATTTCATGATTGCATATATGTTCAGCGAAACATAACTTTTTATCAGAAACAATTTATGACAAAATAATTTTGACATTTTAACAAAATAATCCCACAGATAAAATGAAAATTTGTCCTATTAAATTAATGGATTGACAAGTATATTCACTAAAGCATATTTCCCTTAATAAAATGGGCATTTACACAGCCTATACCCTAAATAATAAAGAGAAAATATATTTAAAGCTAAAACAGTACATTAGGTTTGTTCTTTATTACTGCAGAAGAATATATATGGCAACTATTAATGAGAAGACCAGACCAGCGAGGGTGCAAATGATGGTTTTATCATAAAATGCATATTTTTTGAAATGGGTACTGATACAAGTGTCATTAAGTGCAAAAGTTTATCTATAGAGAATAATTCTAATGAACATGGCCAATGGAGCCTAATTCTCATTAGTAATATTTTGATGTTACCTTCATTACTTTTATTTTAAAAAGTTCTAGAATGATTTATTTTAGTCAGAACATTCTGAAATTCCTTGGTCAAAAAAATTTGTTTGCATCTTCAGGACTATAACAATGCCTTCAGTTTGTGACTTTATATAATTATTAGTCAGATACGGATTACTGTTATATTTTTAAATTTTTCTTTTTTGATAAGGAACAGTCTTTAGGTCTGTATAAGTTAGCAGCAAATAAGTTGGCTTTTCAAAATGTAGACTTTTAAGTTTGTGATGAATATATTAAAACATGCTGTAACAAGTTGATTAATGTTGAAAATGAAGTATAACAATACTGAGAGATCTCAAGATTAGTTTTTCCAGCTGGGTTCTCCTAGTCAAGGGCCAAATGAATATTTCATTTAGCGAAAACTTCCTGGTGAATATTCTGCCACTTAAGAAGTCTATTAATCATTAGTGAATGAAACAAATTCCCAAAGGAGATTCCAAGCTGAGTCTGTGGATTAAGTTTTACAAAGAAAATTTTTAGTACATCAGTGTTGTCCGTGTTATCACTGGCTAGACATGAAAGTAAGAAGCCGAATGGGACATTCTAGAACTAATCCCTTTGTTGGTATCAAAGGGTTAAGTAAAGTTCATGGGAATACATGCCTTAAGGTTTGAGTTGGTGATTTCATTAACAAATCCATATTGTAGGCATTTCTAGATTTTAAACGCTTTAACAAATGAATCTCTTCTGAAAAATAGTGAAAAATATATCAGAGCAATTGATCTAAACGAAATTAGACTCATCGGATTTTAAAGATGGATCACTCTGGTCCAAGAACAAGTATGTTCAGTTTTAGGAATTATGATAGCCACATAATTGTACATATCTATAAAGTAAAATTATTAATTTTTTACTGAGAGCAAAAAAATGTAAATATTTAGATTTATAAATTTATTAAGTTTATATCAATATATTTTACAAGCAAATATTATAAAGTAAAATAACAAGTCCTATGTTTCATACAAAGTAATTTTTAAAATTCAAAAATACTTGGGCTATCAGATTTGCTTCTAGCTATTGCAATCAGTAATGCGTAAGCTGTTTGAGTGAAGAGACACCAGCTTAGCAAGAGAATTCATGTCCTATTTTCCCAGCATCTGATAGAAAAACCATGACCCTTAAAGGTTTTACTTTGAATAGTAAGCAAAACTATCACTTTTCTCAGTTTTTATTCTTTCTGTTCATTTTTGCATCACATAATGATTCCCTTCCTTGAGGGAAGTTCATTCATTCATATCACAGACCTCAATTCTTTTTTACCCCTTTCCCTCCCTCCAAGTGTTGATCCCTTTCCCAATTTGAAAAAGATCTATTTCCATACTTGCTACTATCTTTTATTTTACTCATTATTTATATTTTAGGC